CATCACAAACATCACCGTTTTCTTCGACAACACCGACAGAAGATACTGCAACTATTTCTCCATCCACCATTACCTCAGAATCGACCATTTCGAGCACTGAATCTGTCTCAACAGCAGCAACAACGTCTCCATTTTCAACAACATCATCCACATCACCAACATCACCGTTTTCTTCGACAACACCTACAGCAGACACTGCGACTATTTCTCCATCCACTATTACCTCAGACTCGACAACTTCAAGCACTGAATCTGTCTCAACAGCAGCAGCAACTTCCCCATTGTCAACAACACCATTTACATCAGTGACTGCAACAACTTCCAGTATACTAACGGTTGCAACATCAGGAGCGACATCTCCATTGTCGACAGCATCATCTACATCATCAACATCACCGTTTTCTTCGACAACACCTACGACAGACACTGCAACGATTTCCACATCCACCGTTACCTCAGAAGCAACAACTTCAAGTACTGAAACAGTTTCAACAGCCGCAACATCTCCATTGTCAACAACACCTTTCACATCAACGACTGCAAGAACTTCAAATATAGAAACGATTTCAACATCAGGTGCATATTCTCCATTGTCAACAACATCATTGACATCACCAGCATCACCGTTTTCTTCCACAACACCTATTTCAGACACTGCAACTATTTCTCCATCCACCATTACCTCAGAATCGACAACTTCGAGCACTGAATCTGTCTCAACAGCAGCAGCAACTTCCCCATTGTCAACAGAATTCACATCTCGGACTACAACGTTTTCTTCAACAACATCTATGTCAGACACTACAACTATTTCAACATCCATCATTACCTCAGAATCGACATCTTCAAGCACTGAATCTGTCTCAACAGCAGCAACAACGTCTCCATTTTCAACAACATCATCCACATCACCAACATCACCGTTTTCTTCGACAACACCTACAGCAGACACTGCAACTATTTCTCCATCCACCATTACCTCAGAATCGACAACTTCAAGCACTGAAACTGTCTCAACAGCAGCAGCAACTTCCCCATTGTCAACAACACCATTTACATCAGCGACTGCAACAACTTCCAGTATACTAACGGTCGCAACATCAGGAGCGACATCTCCATTGTCAACAGCATCATCCACATCACCAACATCACTGTTTTCTTCGACAACACCTATGGCAGACACTGCAACTATTTCCGCATCCACAATTGCCTCAGAATCGACAACCTCAAGCACTGAATCTGTCTCAACAGCAGCAACAACTTCTCCATTCTCAACAACATCATTCACATCACCAACATCACTGTTTTCTTCGGCAACAAGTATGGCAGACACTACAACTATTTCTCCATCCACCATTTCCTCAGATTCGACAACTTCAAGCACTGAAATTGTCTCAACAGCAGCAGCAACTTCCCCATTGTCAACAACACCATTTACATCAGCGACTGCAACAACTTCCAGTATACTAACGGTTGCAACATCAGGAGCGACATCTCCTTTGTCGACAGCATCATCCACATCACCAACATCACTGTTTTCTTCGACAACACCGACAGCAGACACTGCAACTATTTCTACATCCACCATTACCTCAGAATTGACAACTTCGAGCACTGAATCTGTCTCAACAGCAGCAACAACGTCTCCATTTTCAACATCATCCACATCACCAACATCACCGTTTTCTTCGACAACACCTACAGCAGACACTGCAACTATTTCTCTATCCACTATTACCTCAGACTCGACAACTTCAAGCACTGAATCTGTCTCAACAGCAGCAACAACATCTCCATTGTCAACACAATTCACATCTCGGACTACAACGTTTTCTTCCACGACACCTATGTCAGACACTACAACTATTTCACCATCCAACATTACCTCAGAATCGACAACTTCAAGCACTGAAATTGTCTCAACAGCAGCAGCAACTTCCCCATTGTCAACAACACCATTTACATCAGCGACTGCAACAACTTCCAGTATACTAACGGTTGCAACATCAGGAGCGACATCTCCATTGTCGACAGCATCATCCACATCACCAACATCACCGTTTTCTTCGACAACACCGACAGCAGACACTGCAACTATTTCTCCATCCACCATTACCTCAGAATCGACAACTTCGAGCACTGAATCTGTCTCAACAGCAGCAGCAACTTCCCCATTGTCAACAGAATTCACATCTCGGACTACAACGTTTTCTTCAACAACACCTATGTCAGACACTACAACTATTTCAACATCCATCATTACCTCAGAATCGACAACTTCAAGCACTGAAATTGTCTCAACAGCAGCAGCAACTTCCCCATTGTCAACAACACCATTTACATCAGCGACTGCAACAACTTCCAGTATACTAACGGTTGCAACATCAGGAGCGACATCTCCATTGTCGACAGCATCATCCACATCACAAACATCACCGTTTTCTTCGACAACACCGACAGCAGATACTGCAACTATTTCTCCATCCACCATTACCTCAGAATCGACAACTTCGAGCACTGAATCTGTCTCAACAGCAGCAACAACGTCTCCATTTTCAACAACATCATCCACATCACCAACATCACCGTTTTCTTCGACAACACCTACAGCAGACACTGCAACTATTTCTCCATCCACCATTACCTCAGACTCGACAACTTCAAGCACTGAATCTGTCTCAACAGCAGCAGCAACTTCCCCATTGTCAACAACACCATTTACATCAGCGACTGCAACAACTTCCAGTATACTAACGGTTGCAACATCAGGAGCGACATCTCCATTGTCGACAGCATCATCCACATCACAAACATCACCGTTTTCTTCGACAACACCGACAGAAGATACTGCAACTATTTCTCCATCCACCATTACCTCAGAATCGACAACTTCGAGCACTGAATCTGTCTCAACAGCAGCAACAACGTCTCCATTTTCAACAACATCATCCACATCACCAACATCACCGTTTTCTTCGACAACACCTACAGCAGACACTGCGACTATTTCTCCATCCACTATTACCTCAGACTCGACAACTTCAAGCACTGAATCTGTCTCAACAGCAGCAGCAACTTCCCCATTGTCAACAACACCATTTACATCAGTGACTGCAACAACTTCCAGTATACTAACGGTTGCAACATCAGGAGCGACATCTCCATTGTCGACAGCATCATCTACATCATCAACATCACCGTTTTCTTCGACAACACCTACGACAGACACTGCAACGATTTCCACATCCACCGTTACCTCAGAAGTAACAACTTCAAGTACTGAAACAGTTTCAACAGCCGCAACATCTCCATTGTCAACAACACCTTTCACATCAACGACTGCAAAAACTTCAAATATAGAAACGATATCAACATCAGGTGCATATTCTCCATTGTCAACAACATTATTGACATCACCAACATCACCGTTTTCTTCCACAACACCTATTTCAGACAGTACAACTATTTCTCCATCCACCATTCCCTCAGAATCGACAACTTCAAGCACTGAATCTGTCTCAACAGCAACAACAACGTCTCCATTGTCAGCAACATCATTCACATCTCCTACTACAACGTTTTCTTCAACAACACCTATGTCAGACAACACAACTATTTCTCCATCCACCATTACCTCAGAATCGACAACTTCAAGCACTGAATCTGTCTCAACAGCAGCAACAACGTCTCCATTTTCAACAACATCATTCACATCACCAACATCACTGTTTTCTTCGACAACACCTATGTCAGACACTACAACTATTTCTCCATCCACCATTACCTCAGAATCGACAACTTCGAGCACTGAATCTGTCTCAACAGCAGCAACAACGTCTCCATTGTCAGCAACATCATTCACATCTCCTTCTACAACGTTTTCTTCAACAACACCTATGTCAGACAACACAACTATTTCTCCATCCACCATTACCTCAGAATCGACAACTTCAAGCACTGAATCTGTCTCAACAGCAGCAACAACGTCTCCATTTTCAACAACATCATTCACATCACCAACATCACTGTTTTCTTCGACAACACCTATGTCAGACACTACAACTATTTCTCCATCCACCATTACCTCAGAATCGACAACTTCGAGCACTGAATCTGTCTCAACAGCAGCAACAACGTCTCCATTTTCAACAACATCATCCACATCACCAACATCACCGTTTTCTTCGACAACACCTACAGCAGACACTGCAACTATTTCTCCATCCACCATTACCTCAGAATCGACAACTTCAAGCACTGAAACTGTCTCAACAGCAGCAGCAACTTCCCCATTGTCAACAACACCATTTACATCAGCGACTGCAACAACTTCCAGTATACTAACGGTCGCAACATCAGGAGCGACATCTCCATTGTCGACAGCATCATCCACATCACCAACATCACCGTTTTCTTCGACAACACCTATGGCAGACACTGCAACTATTTCCGCATCCACAATTGCCTCAGAATCGACAACCTCAAGCAGTGAATCTGTCTCAACAGCAGCAACAACTTCTCCATTCTCAACAATATCATTCATATCATCAACATCACTGTTTTCTTCGGCAACACCTATGTCAGACACTACAACTATTTCTCGATCCACCATTTCCTCAGAATCGACAACTTCGAGCACTGGATCTGTCTCAACTGCAGCAACAACGTCTCCATTGTCAACAACACCATTTACATCAGCGACTGCAACAACTTCCAGTATACTAACGGTTGCAACATCAGGAGCGACATCTCCATTGTCGACAACATCAATAACATCACCAACAGCACCGTTTTATTCGACGACACCTACGGCAGACACTGCAAAGATTTCCACATCCACCATTACCTCAGAAGCAACAACTTCAAGTACTAACACGATTTCAACAGCCGCAACATCTCCATTGTCAACAACACCTTTCACATCAGCGACTGCAAGAACTTCCAATATAGAAACGATGTCAACATCAGGTGCAACTTCTCCATTGTTAACAACATTATTCACATCACCAACATCACCGATTTCTTCGACAACAGCTATTTCAGACACTACAACTATTTTTTCATCCACCATTACCTCAGAATCGACAACTTCAAGCACTGAATCTGTCTCAACAGCAGCAGCAACATCTCCATTGTCAACAACACCATTCACATCTCCGACTACAACGTTTTCTTCCACAACACCAACGTCAGATACTACAACTATTTCTCCATCCACCATGACCTCAGAATCGACAACTTTGAACACTGAATCTGTCTCAACAGTAGCAACAACGTCTGCATTGTCAACAACACCATTCACATCTTCGACGACAACGTTTTCTTCCACAACACCTATGTCAGACACTACAACTATTTCTCCATCCACCATGACCTCAGAATCGACAACTTTGAACACTGAATCTGTCTCAACAGCAGCAACAAGTTCTCCATTGTCAACAACACAATTTACATCAGCAACTGCAACAACTTCCAGTCTAATAACAGTGGCAACATCAGGAGCGACATCTCCATTGTCAACAACATCATTCACATCACCAACATCACCGATTTCTTTCACAACAACAATTTCAGACACTACAACTATTTCCCCATCCACCATTATCTCAGAATCAACAACTTCGAGCACTGGATCTGTCTCAACTGCAGCAACAACGTCTCCATTGTCAACAACACCATTTACATCAGCGACTGCAACAACTTCCAGTATACTAAAGGTTGCAACATCAGGAGCGACATCTCCATTGTCGACAACATCAATAACATCACCAACAGCACCGTTTTATTCGACAACACCTACGGCCGACACTGCAACGATTTCCACATCCACCATTACCTCAGAAGCAACAACTTCAAGTACTAACACGATTTCAACAGCAGCAAGTTCTCCATTGTCAACAACACGTTTCACATCAGCGACTGCAATAACTTCCAATATAGAAACGATGTCAACATCAGGTGCAACTTCTCCATTGTCAACAACATCATTCACATCACCAACATCACCGTTTTCTTCGACAACAGCTATTTCAAACACTCCAACTATTTCTCCATCCATCATTACTTCAGAATCGACAACTTCAAGCACTGAATCTGTCTCAACAACAACAACAACAACGTCTCCATTGTCAACAACACCATTCACATCTCCGACTACAACTTTTTCTTCCACAACACCTATGTCAGACATCAGAACTATTTCTCCATTCACCATTGCCTCAGAATTGACAACTTTGAGCACTGAATCTGTCTCAACAGCAGCAACAACGTCTCTATTGTCAATAACACCATTCACATCTCCGACTACAACGTTTTCTTCCACAACACCAACGTCAGATACTACAACTATTTTTCCATCCACCATGACCTCAGAATCGACAACTTTGAACACTGAATCTGTCTCAACAGTAGCAACAACGTCTGCATTGTCAACAACACCATTCACATCTTCGACGACAACGTTTTCTTCCACAACACCTATGTCAGACACTACAACTATTTCTCCATCCACCATGACCTCAGAATCGACAACTTTGGACACTGAATCTGTCTCAACAGCAGCAACAAGTTCTCCATTGTCAACAACTAAATTTACATCAGCAACTGCAACAACTTCCAGTCTAATAACAGTGGCAACATCAGGAGCGACATCTCCATTGTCAACAACATCATTCACATCACCAACATCACCGATTTCTTTCACAACAACAATTTCAGACACTACAACTATTTCTCCATCCACCATTATCTCAGAATCGACAACTTCGAGCACTGGATCTGTCTCAACTGCAGCAACAACGTCTCCATTGTCAACATCACCATTTACATCAGCGACTGCAACAACTTCCAGTATACTAACGGTTGCAACATCAGGAGCGACATCTCCATTGTCGACAACATCAATAACATCACCAACAGCACCGTTTTATTCGACGACACCTACGGCAGACACTGCAACGATTTCCACATCCACCATTACCTCAGAAGCAACAACTTCAAGTACTAACACGATTTCAACAGCCGCAACATCTCCATTGTCAACAACACCTTTCACATCAGCGACTGCAAGAACTTCCAATATAGAAACGATGTCAACATCAGGTGCAACTTCTCCATTGTTAACAACATTTTTCACATCACCAACATCACCGATTTCTTCGACAACAGCTATTTCAGACACTACAACTATTTCTCCATCCACCATGACCTCAGAATCGACAACTTTGAACACTGAATCTGTCTCAACAGTAGCAACAACGTCTGCATTGTCAACAACACCATTCACATCTTCGACGACAACGTTTTCTTCCACAACACCTATGTCAGACACTACAACTATTTCTCCATCCACCATGACCTCAGAATCGACAACTTTGGACACTGAATCTGTCTCAACAGCAGCAACAAGTTCTCCATTGTCAACAACTAAATTTACATCAGCAACTGCAACAACTTCCAGTCTAATAACAGTGGCAACATCAGGAGCGACATCTCCATTGTCAACAACATCATTCACATCACCAACATCACCGATTTCTTTCACAACAACAATTTCAGACACTACAACTATTTTTTCATCCACCATTACCTCAGAATCGACAACTTTGGACACTGAATCTGTCTCAACTGCAGCAACAACGTCTCCATTGTCAACAACACCATTTACATCAGCGACTGCAACAACTTCCAGTATACTAACGGTTGCAACATCAGGAGCGACATCTCCATTGTCGACAACATCAATAACATCACCAACAGCACCGTTTTATTCGACAACACCTACGGCCGACACTGCAACGATTTCCACATCCACCATTACCTCAGAAGCAACAACTTCAAGTACTAACACGATTTCAACAGCAGCAAGTTCTCCATTGTCAACAACACGTTTCACATCAGCGACTGCAATAACTTCCAATATAGAAACGATGTCAACATCAGGTGCAACTTCTCCATTGTCAACAACATCATTCACATCACCAACATCACCGTTTTCTTCGACAACAGCTATTTCAAACACTCCAACTATTTCTCCATCCATCATTACTTCAGAATCGACAACTTCAAGCACTGAATCTGTCTCAACAACAACAACAACGTCTCCATTGTCAACAACACCATTCACATCTCCGACTACAACTTTTTCTTCCACAACACCTATGTCAGACATCACAACTATTTCTCCATTCACCATTGCCTCAGAATTGACAACTTTGAGCACTGAATCTGTCTCAACAGCAGCAACAACGTCCCTATTGTCAACAACACCATTCACATCTTCGACGACAACGTTTTCTTCCACAACACCTATGTCAGACACTACAACTATTTCTCCATCCACCATGACCTCAGAATCGACAACTTTGGACAATGAATCTGTCTCAACAGCAGCAACAAGTTCTCCATTGTCAACAACAAAATTTACATCAGCAACTGCAAAAACCTCCAGTCTAATAACAGTGGCAACATCAGGAGTGACATCTCCATTGTCGACAACATCAATAACATCACCAACAGCACCGTTTTCTTCGACAACACCTACGGTAGACACTGCAATGATTTCCACAACTACCATTACCTCAGAAGCAACAACTTCAAGTACTGAAACGATTTCAACAGCCACAACATCTCCATTGTCAACAACACCTTTCCCATCAGCGACTGCAAGAACTTCCAATATAGAAACGATGTCAACATCAGGTGCAACTTCTCCATTGTCAACAACATCATTCACATCACCAACATCACCGTTTTCTTCGACAACAGCTATTTCAAACACTCCAACTATTTCTCCATCCATCATTACTTCAGAATCGACAACTTCAAGCACTGAATCTGTCTCAACAACAACAACAACAACGTCTCCATTGTCAACAACACCATTCACATCTCCGACTACAACTTTTTCTTCCACAACACCTATGTCAGACATCACAACTATTTCTCCATTCACCATTGCCTCAGAATTGACAACTTTGAGCACTGAATCTGTCTCAACAGTAGCAACAACGTCTGCATTGTCAACAACACCATTCACATCTTCGACGACAACGTTTTCTTCCACAACACCTATGTCAGACACTACAACTATTTCTCCATCCACCATGACCTCAGAATCGACAACTTTGGACACTGAATCTGTCTCAACAGCAGCAACAAGTTCTCCATTGTCAACAACAAAATTTACATCAGCAACTGCAAAAACTTCCAGTCTAATAACAGTGGCAACATCAGGAGTGACATCTCCATTGTCGACAACATCAATAACATCACCAACAGCACCGTTTTCTTCGACAACACCTACGGTAGACACTGCAATGATTTCCACAACTACCATTACCTCAGAAGCAACAACTTCAAGTACTGAAACGATTTCAACAGCCACAACATCTCCATTGTCAACAACACCTTTCCCATCAGCGACTGCAAGAACTTCCAATATAGAAACGATGTCAACATCAGGTGCAACTTCTCCATTGTCAACAACATCATTCACATCACCAACATCACCGTTTTCTTCGACAACAGCTATTTCAAACACTCCAACTATTTCTCCATCCATCATTACTTCAGAATCGACAACTTCAAGCACTGAATCTGTCTCAACAACAACAACAACGTCTCCATTGTCAACAACACCATTCACATCTCCGACTACAACTTTTTCTTCCACAACACCTATGTCAGACATCACAACTATTTCTCCATTCACCATTGCCTCAGAATTGACAACTTTGAGCACTGAATCTGTCTCAACAGCAGCAACAACGTCTCTATTGTCAATAACACCATTCACATCTCCGACTACAACGTTTTCTTCCACAACACCAACGTCAGATACTACAACTATTTCTCCATCCACCATGACCTCAGAATCGACAACTTTGAACACTGAATCTGTCTCAACAGTAGCAACAACGTCTGCATTGTCAACAACACCATTCACATCTCCGACTACAACTTTTTCTTCCACAACACCTTTGTCAGACATCACAACTAGTTCTCCATTCACCATTGCCTCAGAATTGACAACTTTGAGCACTGAATCTGTCTCAACAGCAGCAACAACGTCTCTATTGTCAATAACACCATTCACATCTCCGACTACAACGTTTTCTTCCACAACACCAACGTCAGATACTACAACTATTTCTCCATCCACCATGACCTCAGAATCGACAACTTTGAACACTGAATCTGTCTCAACAGTAGCAACAACGTCTGCATTGTCAACAACACCATTCACATCTTCGACGACAACGTTTTCTTCCACAACACCTATGTCAGACACTACAACTATTTCTCCATCCACCATGACCTCAGAATCGACAACTTTGGACACTGAATCTGTCTCAACAGCAGCAACAAGTTCTCCATTGTCAACAACTAAATTTACATCAGCAACAACTTCCAGTCTAATAACAGTGGCAACATCAGGAGCGACATCTCCATTGTCAACAACATCATTCACATCACCAACATCACCGATTTCTTTCACAACAACAATTTCAGACACTACAACTATTTCTCCATCCACCATTATCTCAGAATCGACAACTTCGAGCACTGGATCTGTCTCAACTGCAGCAACAACGTCTCCATTGTCAACAACACCATTTACATCAGCGACTGCAACAACTTCCAGTATACTAACGGTTGCAACATCAGGAGCGACATCTCCATTGTCGACAACATCAATAACATCACCAACAGCACCGTTTTATTCGACGACACCTACGGCAGACACTGCAACGATTTCCACATCCACCATTACCTCAGAAGCAACAACTTCAAGTACTAACACGATTTCAACAGCCGCAACATCTCCATTGTCAACAACACGTTTCACATCAGCGACTGCAAGAACTTCCAATATAGAAACGATGTCATCATCAGGTGCAACTTCTCCATTGTTAACAACATTATTCACATCACCAACATCACCGATTTCTTCGACAACAGCTATTTCAGGCACTACAACTATTTTTTCATCCACCATTACCTCAGAATCGACAACTTCAAGCACTGAATCTGTCTCAACAGCAGCCGAAACATCTCCATTGTCAACAACACCATTCACATCTCCGACTACAACGTTTTCTTCCACAACACCAACGTCAGATACTACAACTATTTCTCCATCCACCATGACCTCAGAATCGACAACTTTGAACACTGAATCTGTCTCAACAGTAGCAACAACGTCTGCATTGTCAACAACACCATTCACATCTTCGACGACAACGTTTTCTTCCACAACACCTATGTCAGACACTACAACTATTTCTCCATCCACCATGACCTCAGAATCGACAACTTTGAACACTGAATCTGTCTCAACAGCAGCAACAAGTTCTCCATTGTCAACAACACAATTTACATCAGCAACTGCAACAACTTCCAGTCTAATAACAGTGGCAACATCAGGAGCGACATCTCCATTGTCAACAACATCATTCACATCACCAACATCACCGATTTCTTTCACAACAACAATTTCAGACACTACAACTATTTCCCCATCCACCATTATCTCAGAATCAACAACTTCGAGCACTGGATCTGTCTCAACTGCAGCAACAACATCTCCATTGTCAACAACACCATTTACATCAGCGACTGCAACAACTTCCAGTATACTAACGGTTGCAACATCAGGAGCGACATCTCCATTGTCGACAACATCAATAACATCACCAACAGCACCGTTTTATTCGACAACACCTACGGCCTACACTGCAACGATTTCCACATCCACCATTACCTCAGAAGCAACAACTTCAAGTACTAACACGATTTCAACAGCAGCAAGTTCTCCATTGTCAACAACACGTTTCACATCAGCGACTGCAATAACTTCCAATATAGAAACGATGTCAACATCAGGTGCAACTTCTCCATTGTCAACAACATCATTCACATCACCAACATCACCGTTTTCTTCGACAACAGCTATTTCAAACACTCCAACTATTTCTCCATCCATCATTACTTCAGAATCGACAACTTCAAGCACTGAATCTGTCTCAACAACAACAACAACGTCTCCATTGTCAACAACACCATTCACATCTCCGACTACAACTTTTTCTTCCACAACACCTATGTCAGACATCACAACTATTTCTCCATTCACCATTGCCTCAGAATTGACAACTTTGAGCACTGAATCTGTCTCAACAGTAGCAACAACGTCTGCATTGTCAACAACACCATTCACATCTTCGACGACAACGTTTTCTTCCACAACACCTATGTCAGACACTACAACTATTTCTCCATCCACCATGACCTCAGAATCGACAACTTTGGACACTGAATCTGTCTCAACAGCAGCAACAAGTTCTCCATTGTCAACAACAAAATTTACATCAGCAACTGCAAAAACTTCCAGTCTAATAACAGTGGCAACATCAGGAGTGACATCTCCATTGTCGACAACATCAATAACATCACCAACAGCACCGTTTTCTTCGACAACACCTACGGTAGACACTGCAATGATTTCCACAACTACCATTACCTCAGAAGCAACAACTTCAAGTACTGAAACGATTTCAACAGCCACAACATCTCCATTGTCAACAACACCTTTCCCATCAGCGACTGCAAGAACTTCCAATATAGAAACGATGTCAACATCAGGTGCAACTTCTCCATTGTCAACAACATCATTCACATCACCAACATCACCGATTTCTTCGACAACAGCTATTTCAGACATTACAACTATTTTTTCATCCACCATTACCTCAGAATCGACAACTTCAAGCACTGAATCTGTCTCAACAGCAGCATCAACATCTCCATTGTCAACAACACCATTCACATCTCCGACTACAACTTATTCTTCCACAACACCTATGTCAGACACTACACCTATTTCCCCATCCACCATTACCTCAGAATCGACAACTTCAAGCACTGAAACTGTTTCAACAGCAACAGCAAGTTATCCATTGTCAACAACACGTTTCACATCAGCGACTGCAAGAACTTCCAATATAGAAACGATGTCAACATCAGGTGCAACTTCTCCATTGTCAACAACATCATTCACATCACCAACATCACCGATTTCTTCGACAACAGCTATTTCAGACATTACAACTATTTTTTCATCCACCATTACCTCAGAATCGACAACTTCAAGCACTGAATCTGTCTCAACAGCAGCAGCAACAACTCCATTGTCAACAACACCATTCACATCTCCGACTACAACGTTTTCTTCCACAACACCAACGTCAGATACTACAACTATTTCACCATCCACCATGAACTCAGAATCGACAACTTTGAGCAGTGAATCTGTCTCGACAGCAGCAACTACGTCTGCATTTGCAACAACACCATTCACATCTCCGACTACAACGTTGTCTTCCAAAACACCTATGTCAGACACTACAACTATTTCTCCATCCACCATTACTTCAGAATCGACAGCTTCAAGCACGGAATCTGTCTCAACAACAGCAACAACGTATCCATTGTCAACAACACCATTCACATCTCCGACTATAACTTTTTCTTCCACAACACCTATGTCAGACATTACAACTATTTCTCGATTCACCATTGCCTCAGAATCGACAACTTTGAGCACTGAATCTGTCTCAACAGCAGCAACAACGTCTCCATCGTCAACAACACCATTCATGTCTCCTACTACAACGTTTTCTTCCACAACATCTATGTCGGACACTGCAACTATTTCTCCATCCACCAATACCTCAGAATCGACAACTTCAAGAACTGAAACTGTCTCAACAGCAGCAGCAAGTTTTCCATTGTCAACAACACCATTTACATCAGCGACTACAACAACTTCCAGTATACTAACAGTGGCAACATCAGGAGCGACATCTCCATTGTCGACAACATCAATAACATCACCAACAGCACCGTTTTCTTCGACAACACCTACGGCAGACACTGCAACGATTTCCACATCCACCATTACCTCAGAAGCAACAACTTCAAGTATTGAAACGATTTCAACAGCCGCAACATCTCCATTGTCAACAACACCTTTCACATCGGCGGCTGCAAGAACTTCCAATATAGAAACGATGTCAACATCAGGTGCAACTTCTCCATTGTCAACAACATCATTCACATCACCAACATCACCGTTTTCTTCGACAAGAGCTATTTCAGACGCTATAACTATTTCTCCATCCACCATTACCTCAGAATCGACAACTTCAAGCACTGAATCTGTCTCAACAGCAGCAACGTCTCCATTGTCAACAACACCATTCACATCTCCAACTACAACGTTTTCTTCCACAACACCTATGTCAGACACCACAACTACGTCTCCATCCACCATTACCTCAGAATCGACAACTTCACGTACTGAAACGATTTCAACAGCTGCAACATCTCCTTTCACATCGGCGACTGCAAGAACTTCCAATATAGAAACGATGTCAACATCAGGTGCAACTTCTCCATTGTCAACAACATCATTCACATCGCCAACAGAATCGTATTCTTCGACAACACCTACGTCAGACACTACAACTATTTTCACATCCACCATTACCTCAGAATCGTTAACTTCAAGCACTGAATCTGGTTCAACAGCAGCAGCAACTCCTCCACTATCAACAACACCATTTACATCAGCGACTGCAACAACTTCCAGTATAGTAATGGTGTCAACATCAGGAACAACATCTCCATTGTCAACAACGTCATTCACATCATCAACAGCACCGTTTTCTTCGACAACACCTATGTCAGACACAACTATTTCCCAATCCACCATAACCTCAGAATCAACTTCCAACATTGAATCTATCTCAACAGTAGCAGCAACTTCTGCATTGTCAACAAGACCATTCACATCTCCTATTACAATGTTTTCTTCCACAACACCTACATCAAACACTATAACTATTTCTTCGTCCACCATTTCCTCAGAATCAACAACTTCAAATACTGAATCTGGCTCAACACCAGCAGCAACATCTCCATTGTCAACAACACAATTTACATCAGCGAATGCAACAACTTCCAGTAGAGTAACGGTGTCAACATCAGTAGCAACATCTCCTTTATCGACAACATTCACATCGCCAACAGAACCGTTCTCTTCGACAACACCTACGTCAGACACTACAACTATTTTCACATCCACCATTACCTCAGAATCGACAACTTCGAGCACTGAATCTTTCTCAACAGCAGCAACAACGTCTCCATTGTCAACAACACCAATCACATCTCCGACTACGAAGATTTCTTCCACAACAACTACTCCAGGTTACTGCACAATTTTTTCATCCACCATTACATCACACGCCTTTATATAATAATCTAGCTATCCATATTCCACGGAATAATTATATCACTTTATATAGCGACAGTTGCACTCGAATTTGTACGGAATGGGCTTCGCAAAAGCTCTCTCAGCGTTACATTCTTAAGCCAAATTCACGGAGTGAGAATTACATCATTCCACACAACGATGCAGAGTTTACACATAGAAGCAGAAACGTCATGCCATAATTGCTTCCACCATTACCCCAACCTAACCGAGCCCACTTTGGATCATTCTGCAATTTTGGCATGCGTTAGTTGCAGATATAGGTGCATTTCTGTAAAGTATCCATCATACATGAATTTCAAATGGTGGAATGACAGAAAATTTTCTCATGAAATGGCCCTCACTCCACCAAAAGTAGCAGAATGAATAATAGCCATAATAGGTACATTACTCGGGCCCTATAGCTTGTTTCCAGTACATCGTACAAAAGTAGAAGGGTACAACAATGGGAATGTCAAATAAAAGTAATGCTAGGAAGCCTAATGTGAATACTGTCTGGTACAAACAAATTTTACATTTCATTTTGCTTCATGAAGTTAACCTTATAGGTAAAATATGATTTATAGACTTGTATGATGTAAATGTTTAATTGTGTATGTATTCTTGTTTCATTTTTACTGCAGCTAATACACCCTGTTCTCTGCCTTGCACCAATGGAATGTGCTTCATTGATCCCAGCACAAAAAACTCCACCTGCCAATGCAATACAGGATACGAACTACATGAAGGTCAACCCAACTGCTTCGGTAAATATTGCACGAGGAAATGCTATTACGTGACCTTTTGTGAACGTTTTGTAAAGCCTAGTGAAGCCATTGAAACACTGTTTTATATGAGGTGTGCCACAGTGGCGATATGTTATCTCCCTTGCCTGGTTTAGAGGAGGTCGTGGGTTCGATCCCAACCCTGAGGCCTGTATATATGGAGTTTCCATATTCTCCCTGTGGTCGCATGGATTTTTCACGGGGTCCTCCGGTTTTTTCCTCTGTATTTAGAAACATGCGTTTCGAGTATTTGGCTGCTCTAAATGTACACATGATTTGTCGCCAGGTCGCTTCTGAAGAAGAGCTAAATAGCTCAGTGGGCCTTACCTGGTAATTTTTTTTAGTTTAATATCAACATATCTGTACACATGGCTGTACGTGATAAAGAGCCTGCAATCTTATACTGGTGTGTTTAGCACAGATATTTTAAGTTTAGTTCACCAGTTAAGAATTCACCAGAATGTAAGGGGGACGTGGATAATGTTTTTAAAAAGAGAATTCGAATGAAAAAATATCGTGATTTTTTTTCGGAAAATTAACAAGACTGTAAAAATGCCAGCTCTATATTGAACATGATATAAAATAATCAGAAAAGTTACACACAAACATAAAATATACAGCGAAAATCCAAATAATCTGTAAATCCTTGTAATCCGTGGGGCAATCCAAACATCCCCATTTTCGTTCATCCTCCATAAAACGACTGTAAACCTAAACATGTTAAATTCCAGAACCACACATTTCAAGGCAATTTTTTTTATCGCGTCGAATGTATTCCCGATTCAATCTCCTGGCACAGCAGTCTAAACGTTAGGACAAGTTTATGAAGTATCCCCACCCCTGTCCATCCAGCAGTATAAATGGATAAACCACAGTTAGTCGATCAGCAGGTCACATGTGGTGGAGTTAAAGTGTGGGTACTCCCATAACTTCTAAAATGTCGAGCCGGCATGGAAGAGTAGGCCAAATATACTTGAGAGTGTTTTCTAGTGCTTCCTCTCGTGTATGCCCTTTCACCAGCAGCAGCATGAGCAATACATTTCAGGGCTGACCAGCATAGCAGACAGGAGATGCCAATCCATTTACAATGATACTTTGTCGCGGTTAACTGTATTCCGACCTGAATTTGTCTTTGTGGCACACACATGTCTTCGCATCATACAAAGTTAATTTGTTTTTGCAATGTCCTCACGAATTGAAAAGGACCCCGAATTGGTAGTTAAATATATACAGCAAAAGTATTGGTTTCACCTCCTACTCAAATAAGTGCAAGGTGGTATCCGTCTTGTATATATGTACAGCGTATGTTGAACTTCTTTCGCACCATACATAGTCAACCATGCTGATTGGAGGTGGGGGTCTGCAGGTGTGGGGTCTTCATATTACAAAACAAATCAGCAGACTATCTGCTGGATCTCCTCACTGTTTCGAATAACAAATGTGACCTAAGGTCTTCGCTCATTTACCAGCTTCACATTCCTTATTGCTGTACAAATACTGGAGGAAGGGCCTTTTCTATTGATGCCCCCAGGGTCTGGAATGCTATCGCCAATAAACTGCAACTTGGATCACTACCTGTGAGATCTTCACTCAAAACTGCTCTAGAGGAGTTGTACACCCCTAGCTGCCACTGCTATTCAATATGGCCTGAAATCAAATGTATCGTTCTGGATGACCGCTGCAAAGTATGTGCTGATCTTTAAAGGTGTATTGAAAATTGTTGATACTGCTACTGATACTCCTGCTGTTATGGAGTGACTCATGCAGCAAGCTATGGCTGCAAAGTTGGTCGTACATGTTATGTATATCGTTTATTGTTAAATTTGAATCACAGTTCCTATGATCACTGTTACATTGTTTTTATAGCTTTATTTTGGTGATTTTGAAAACGTTTTGGTTTAGCCATGTTTGTTTGTTGTAGTACAGAGTTAGCCTGATAACTTTAATCTAAATTATCTTATGGTTGTTTTTGTTTGACTTGCATCCCACTGGGATTTTTGCACACAGCGTTGAAATACGCTGTTTTTTCTGGAAGACGTTGCAATTTTTTCCTGGATTTTTATGCTGCGTGTAGTCACTTTGAGATGTTTCTTGTTCATGTTTTTGTTTGCTGCGGTTGAACCCGAGTTAAGAGCCACATGGCTCACATGAAAACTGAAAACATTCCATGATTGGCGGAAAGCAGGACAACCACTGTTATGAAATGCCAGGAGTGCAAGAGATCATTAAGTTTAACATCTCTTACAAAACAGAGAGCAATGTTCAATGCCATACATGTTGACTCTTGTTGTGGTTGTTGAACATAAATGAGCTTTTGCCCAACCATGTAGGGCTATAGTATTTAAGTAACCTCGAATGTTTGACAGCTGTCTGGATGAATACGTATTAACAAAACAGAAAGATAACTGTTTAAACCGATGTCATAACACGTTGCTTTACATGTCTAATTGTATCCAATACCCTAGCAAACAAGAAAAAGTTTCAAAAATGTCCAACTTCAATGATTTTGCAAGTCAGATAGCTTGTAATATGTTTTACTAAGTTAACCCACTTTGCTTATGTTGTCTTTACTATTTTGCTATTGTTTCTTTGCTTTATAATACATTTTTAAAATCACTACCTCAGTTGACCTGAGAAAGTGATATTCAAATGTGTATAAAACTCGTGTGCCATTATTACTTTGATTTTATATGTAAATGCTCCCTCATTGTTTTTCACTTATTCTGTAGACATCAATGAATGTGAGACACTGCCTCAACGGTGTGAACAAGACTGTGTCAACACTGTTGGAAGCTATGTTTGTTCTTGCTTCCCCGGGTTTGAAGTGAACTCCACTAACATTCACGGATGTGTAGGTATGTGAGTGCGCTACTGTAAACTGCATTACGTGTTGGATAAAGCAGGTTTCACAGCTCTTATGGAATGTATTCAATGAATGCATTTTTACGGTCAATTCCATTAGCTCACTTATTTTCATGTCAATATTTACAAAACCGCCCAATACTATACAAACATTTTTGAAAGGCAATTGATTCTTCAATTCTCAGCTGTTGCTATTTGACCAAATAAAGCCGCCTCGTAGGCAAACGCCTACACTTTGTCTGCGTTATTGAGCTGTTCATTTTGAACATTTACCCTTATATGTGAATTATATTTCTCGTAAATACATTAAAAAATCATAATAAATCAACAATATTTACAAATATTATTGCACTGGACTGAATAATTAAATAAACCTACAAATGCGGCATGCACATTTTACATTCTGGAAAATACATTCACGTAACGTAGCACATAATATGTCAAACCTTGAGACACAAAGGCATCTTTCACAAATCACAGAGCCCAATTGTGCTCGACAATGAATATAGTCCACTGAACATGATTCATATATAACCATTCACGTCTGTAACAACACGACCAAACACAACAGCCAAATTATTCGGGTTTCATTATTTGAATTGCAATTTCGTTCCAAAAAAATGTGCAGCTATTTTGCATTAGAACATGCAGCCCCCTCCCTCCTCCACCCACCCCTTCTGTGCTCACACTAAATTAGTGGAAGGAATGCAAGACAATTCTTCTTAATTTATGTTGTTATTGACGAGTGTGTTGGGTGTTTTTGTTAATTGTACGTGTATCCCACTGCTAATGCAGTATCATAAAATATATTTTTTCAGAGTAGTGTTCCAATGTTTTAAAAAAGTATGATTATTCGTTATTCCATAACATGCAATTATTGTGCAGTATATTATTGAAAATAATACTGTATATCTTGATACATTTTCCTCGTGAATCGAGTTCTTTTAAACATGCCTCAATATAAATATATCATAAATGCAGTATTTATCATTTCTCTATGTTTTGTACAGATATCAATGAATGTCTAAGCAAACCTTGTAAAAACAATGGGACGTGCCAGAACCTGGATAATGCCTATTCCTGTCAGTGTGCTCGTGGATGGACGGGCACCAACTGTGACCAAGGTGGGTGTGAATTGTGAAAAGATCCCACCTCAGTGGAGCAGCACTGGATATTTAAACAGAGAGTGTATATTGTTAGCCAAGCAGTTTTATCAACCATTTTATAGCTCATACATTTATTGCCGCCGTTGGCTCAAGGTCAGTGCACTGAGCTGACTCTATAGAGGTCCTTGAGTTTGGAACAGGGCAGCCGCCTGTGAATAAATCTGGTTCTCAAGTGTGGTGAGTTGATGGTCGCAGTCGTCACGTACAATATTGGTTCTGCAATAACTGTTGCTATATTCAGGTTCTGTGAGTTAAAAGAACCCCATCCGTTTGTCACGTGAACCTTATGGCGGTACCCCGGCTCTCGCATAATCTCCGTGATGCAGTCATTTTTAGTCTGTTGATGGTCGGCGATCATCTCGACTCATCTCGACGAGCTGTACATGATGCACTATGGTGCATACGAGCGTTCAGGGTTTCGGTGCAATCGTCCTCGCTGCGTTTCGACATCGCGGAGTAGCACTGTTGAATTAAAGAAAATCTCGGATAACCAACAAATAACGGAACATTTACTGAGAATAGGTTTTCCCATTTTTTTCTGGCAACAAAACAGGTGTTAAGATCACAATTGGAACCTCCTTTGCCAGTAGCAAAATATGATAATTGTTTTTTTACCCTTTTATCTGGCAACAAAACTGACACCTTTTTTACAAGGAGTCATGTTTGCATTGACCACAATACCTGCAATCGGAATGCAAACAAAAACGCAACTCTGATAATATATGCACTGTCCTTGAAATTGATTGGCCCACACCCGAGACAGCTTTCCTTAGAGTCTAGTCTCACATGGTGTTTGGACCAGATGACGCCAAAAGGCGCACAACTCAAAGACAATGCACCATCAGAGTATGAGAGCTCGGGGTATTGTGGTGAATGCAAACATGACTCCTTGTAAAAAAGGTGTCAGTTTTGTTGCCAGATAAAAGGGTAAAAAAACAATTATCATATTTTGCTACTGGAAAAGGAGGTTCCAATGGTGTAAATGCTTACTCCGAGCTCTAATACTCTGATGGTGCAAGATGTTAAAACACCAAACTGAAACCTTTGACAAGAAATCATGTTTGTGAAGTGCCCGTCGAGGACGCTTGACAACGGAGTTGAGGCACACGTATATTTATTTAACAAGTTGCCAGTACAGGACAGCACTAGAGGGGGTAGCGGCCCCCTCACCCGTATAACTCAGGGAATACCCCTAGCTATCCATAGCCTATCCCCTGAGTCCTCCACTAAGAGCTAGGGGAGGCTGTCTGGCCCGACACTGGTAATCGGGCTCGGTACCCGGAGTCCCAGAGCACTGGCTCTGGTTCGCGGGACCACGCCACTGGCTCGAGCCTGATCCCGTGGGGCCCTGATAAGGGCGGCGATCAGGGGGAGTCCAGGGCTCTAGCTACGACGTCTTCCGACTTCTTAGCTTAACTATAACATAACTAACTAAGCCCATATAACGACCCCTTTTTATACCCAACCCTCCTTGAGGGGTGGGGCCCCGGGGGATCGTAACGCCGAACCAGCCCCCCCCCAGGGTGTCTGGCTCGGACGTCGCAGAGGGCATCTCCCTGTGCACACACGTAGCCCCGCCCACTGTGTTTCTTTCCCATAGGCTGCCATGCATAACGGCCCTCTCTCCAACATCCCTACATCACTCCCCCCCGCATAGCTCGCAGCCGTCCCGGCTGCAACAATTTCAACAAATGAATCTTTACCCCTTGACTCCCCCCGTGTGTGCCCCATTTTTTCATTTAACAGAACGAGAATTGAACAACAACACTAACAATGCCCCTAAAGGGAGAACAAACCGACGCGCCCCCCCCCCCGAATAAATACGAAATCCGTAGAGGCAAGATATGTACATTTCCCGGAACCCTCAGCGCACGCACAACACGCACACAAGACGCACACACACACACAGCCATAATACAACAACGCGCCAAGAGCGCCGCACGAACGCAGCGTCCAGTAACAATAGCACACGAAAGTGCACCAGAAAACGCAAAAAAAATAAAAAAAATTTTCTTCTTATTTTCGTTTCGTTTTCACTTCTTGTTCGCGTTCCAGTGTTTTTATAAGAGTCTGCGCATTTTAGCGCGCGTCCTTGCCGCAGGCCCGTCACAAGGGCCAACCTCAGATGGCGGACCATTCGGTGGCCGCTGTCCCATCCGAGGCGAGTCCGCAATTGGAGTGGCGGGACCCTCGGCATCCCCCGTGAGGGATGTGCGCGAGCCCGTCATTCCGGGAGAACCTGGGGGCGGGGCAACCGGCAAGACGTCAGGTGAGATCAACAGAGGCGGACCCTCCGGGTCGGTCGACCCCTCACATGCTTGGCCCTGCGCGTGTGGAGCAGAGTCCCGCACCGCAACGAAGGGTTTTAGTCTAGAGGGGTGAACGAACCACCGGCGCCTCCCCCACTTGATACGAACGCACTGCGGTCGCAAAACCTCGACCACCTCGACGGGGCCCCGCCATGGCCGTACCAGTTTCGAGGAGGTCGCAAGCGGTACCTGGGGACAGTGCAGCCATGCCCTGTCCCCTGGCTTCCACTGCAGCACGTGCGCGCGCGCGAGTCTGAGGCGCTCATTCGCCTTTTGGCGCATGCGGGAATTGAGCATGGCAGCATCCCGCGCCTCAGTTAGCTTTTGAAGGTTAAATTTAACGTGCTCGTCCAATTTTATTTTACCTAGAGGCGCGGGGATCTGCAGCTGTGCCCGAACAGGTGGGTCATGTTCGCGACCATACATGAGAAAGAAGGGTGAAAATCCCGTGGCAGCATGGGGGGCCAATCGATATGCTGCCAGGACCCCTTGAATTTGCAAGTCCCAATTGGTCTGTGACTCCGAAACCAGGTGCGACAACATAGACGTGATGGTACGATGCAGACGCTCGACCATCCCGTCAGTTTGTGGGTGATAGGGAGAGGTACGAATCTTCTTTGTACCTAGGAGATCACAGACTTGTTTGAGGAGGTTCCCAGAAAAATTTTTACCCTGGTCGGTCAGCAGCCGCTCCGGAGCACCTTTGTCCATGACGTAGCCTTGGACAAAGGCGTCCACGATGGCTGCTGCCGACTGATTTGCCAGGGGCCAGGCCATAGGCCAGCGTGTGAAGTATTCGACCCCTGTTAGCAAATATCTATTGCCCCTAGGGGTGGCGGGAAACGGCCCCAGGATATCCAACGCTACGAGTTCGTTCACCCTGGAGACTGTGATGGACTGCAACGGCGGGTTCGACTCCCGAGCTGGTGGTTTGCGTTGCGCACACCGGGGGCATGCTGCCAGCAGATCCGTGACATCCCGTGTCATGCCCGGCCAAAAAAAATCCAGCTGGAGCGAGGCGAGGGTCTTTTGGGTACCCAGGTGGAGGAGGCGCTCATGAGCAGCCCACACCACCTTACCCCGTAACCCCGCAGGAACTACCAGCCGGTGACGGTGGGATTTACCGTCCCAATGCATGAGCAAGCCCGCGTGTATTTCCCAATTGTCGGCATCACCCGTCCCACACCCCCTCTCCCTGGCGCGACGACGCAGCGCGAGGAGGGAGGCGTCATCCATCTGGAGGCATCCCCACTCAATCACAGGCAACCCAAGCAGGGAATCCCTTCCCTGTTTCCCGATCTCATCGGGAAGCGATGTGTCAACATCGGCGGCGGCCGCCAGGACTGGAACCGTCATGTCCCCAGCTGGCTTGCAACGCCCCGACCCCAGGAGGCATGCGCATTCGGAGGTGGTTGGCATGCGCGACAGAGCGTCCGCATTTGTGTGGCGAATGCCCTTACGATAGGTGGTGTCAAAATCGAAATCCTGGAGGACCTCCAGCCATCGGGACAATTGTCCCGATGGCTGTTGAACCTTCAGGGCGTACTGCAGTGCTGCATGATCCGTACGGACAGTGAAATGCTGACCGTACAGATATGGGCGGTACTGTTGGATGAAGAAAACAATTGCCAACAGTTCTCTACGGGTGACACAATATTTTTGCTCCGCTGGAGACAACACCCGACTGCCGTACGCAACCACCCGTTCCACGCCATCAACCACCTGGGAAAGCACGCCTCCGATACCTGTGTTGCTCGCGTCGGTGTCGAGCAAAAACGGCCTCGAAAAATCGGGGTAAGTCAAAGGAGGAGCCTTCACCAATGCATCCCGAAGGGAGCAGAAAGCTACTTCCTCATCCCGACCCCAGTGGAACCGAACCCCTTTTGATGTCAAAGCATGTAGGGGTTTGGCAATTGTAGCAAAATTAGCGACGAACCGTCGGTAATATGAAGCGAAGCCAATAAAACTCCTCACCTCCCCCACCGAGGTCGGAATTGGCCAGGAGCTGACACACTGCGTTTTGGCGGGATCGGTAGCAATACCCGAGCGCCCCACGATGTGCCCCAAATAACGCACTGACTCGCGAAACAAATAGCATTTTTGGGGCTTAAATTTCAAATTAGCAGCCCGCATCCTTTGGAAAACCGCCCGCAGCCTCTGGAGATGTTCGTCAAAGGTTCTTCCAAAAACAATTACGTCATCCAAATAAATCAGGCACGATTCCCATTGCAATCCAGCCAAAACCAATTCCATCAACCGCTGGAAGGTTGCCGGCGCTGAGTGTAAGCCCATCGGTAACCGGTTGAATTGGAACAGGCCGTGCGGTGTACGGAAAGCGGTTTTAGGCTTCGAATCATCGTCCAGAGGAAGCTGCCAGAATCCCGAAAGTAAATCTAGTGTGGAGAAGAATCGCGCTCCCGCCAAGGCGTCCAGCGATTCGTCCATCCGTGGGAGCGGGTATGCGTCGGCAACCGAAACCTTATTAAGGCGACGGAAATCTACGCAAAACCGCAACGAGCCATCCTGTTTCTTAACCAGGACAATCGGTGCTCCCCAAGGGCTGGTAGAGGGAGAGATAATGTCGGCGGCTAACATGTCATCGACAGCCGATTTGACATGGTCCTTTTCGGCGGGACTCAACCGAAAAGG